CAACTTTAAGATTCTGGGAGCCAATTAAAAGGTTCAGTTTACATTACATCTATATTTTCCTATAAACTTCAACAAATAAACACTGAAGTAATTTTCTTCTTTTACCTATCTCTAAGCCAAAACACTAACCAAACCAGTTAGTTCTTTGGTTCTGTAGTATCTCATTTGTTCTCAAGCCACTGAAAGTACTTACATTTAATTAAGTATAACTTTTCAAAAGTGCTTAACATAATTTAAAGAGAACTCCTTTGAGTTTGCTAAGAACATATATATTCTAACATGAACAAAGTATTAATAGTAAAGAGGCATAATTAAGAAAAGGCTAGGATTTTTAAATTTGGAAGGGGTGAATTGAAAGCCATCTTTGTCAGGCAGATGGGAGGGGGGAGGGGATGGGTATATACATACATAACGAGTGCGATGTGCACCATCTAGGGGATGGACAGCTTGAAGCTCTGACTGGGTTGGGGGGCAAGGCCAACATAACCTAAACATTTGTACCCCCATAATATGTAGAAATAAAAAAAAAGGAGAAGAAAAAAGCCATCTTTGGATTGTGATTGGGACTAGGGACAATGAGAAGAAAAAGTGACATAAAACAGAGAAGTCTGTGCAGACACTTTATTATCTGCTCACTTTGTTGGCACAATTTTTATAACTTCTCTAAGTTCAAGGTTTGCAGCAAAGGCAAAACAAAACTTGCCCGAATATAAAGGAACAAAGGCCAAGGTTTAAAGACAGATGTAGAAGGCTTCATTGTGCAAGGAAAACATTTTTAATTATTTTTAGCCTGTAGGTGCTTCATTTTCAATAAAAATGCTATTAATTTGACTTTGTCTTTCAAACACCTACTCTTATTCACTCATATTCTCAACTTAAATGAGTTCACCAGACTATTAAATGACAAATTCAGAAAAGAGACTAACCTTTTTGAGAGCTCCCACATGTTTCCAGGCTGACCTATCTTCCTCATTGCATTTAACTGAAAGTGCTGCAAGAGCCTGTGTGTACAGGAGAGTAAAAAGTACCTTCACAATGCAGGTGAAGTGATCTACGAGAGAAAAAAAAAAAATCATTGCTTCTTTGGAATCTAGACATTTTGTACTCCAGATAACAAATATATGCCTTTCCCTGCACACGTAATTGGTTTTTGTTCAACACTTAAGCAGTTAATAAAATAAAATTATAATGTGTACCATCATATTTCTGTCTAACATCTGAAATTATGAAAGCAACGTTCCTCTATTCATCCACAGAATATGTAAATGAGAGGCAATGAACACAGTGGAAAGAGTGCTCTCTTTAGAAGACCACTGTGCTAATGCCACTCAACTTTGGAATAGCTGTGGAATCTTGGCAAACCCCCTTACTGGGCTTCAAGTGCTCGATAACAATGCTTGGGAGTCTCAGTGTTTAAAACCAACAAATACATTATCTACCCCTAATATGATACAGATCTTATAAAGTAAAAAAAAAAAAAAATCCTGATATTTAGGTTACTAATTGGGTTTCAGAATTCAATGAAAACTGTAACAATACAAAACAGTAGTAACAATATGTAAAGTGCTTGGCAGCTTCTGACACATATTAGGTACTTAATAAATGGAAGATTTATTAATATTTATATTTACCTAATAACTTAAAAAGTTTCTTCAAGTGTCTCAAAACAGACTCATTAGACAACTGAGCTTCAGAGGATAATGCCTGTGTTATTAAAGCTAATAAGCACCCAGGTCTGAATTTGAATCCATATGGATCATTTTTCTTCAGGTTCAGTGTTATATCATGCTCCTCCCCTAGTAAATGGACACTACCACTTAATCACCTGCTGGAGTCAGAAACCTGTAGACATCCTTGATACTTTCCTGTCTCTTTCTCCCCACGTAAATAATCACAAAGTCCTGTCAATTCTACTTTTTAAATATTAACATTAGAAGATTAGTATTAACATTAGAATATTAAATTCTGCTTTGTAAATATCTCTAGCCAATTCCAATACCCTAGACCAGAGTTCCCTGTCTTCTTGCCCATACCTATAATCCCAGCTGAAGTGGTTGTGATGGGGGTCCCAAAGACCACTTCCTGGTTTAATGATTCATTAGGAGGACTCACAAGACCCAGTAGAGTCATATTAATGGCTGTCATGATTTATGACAGCAAAAGGATACAAGTTAAAATCAGCAAAGGAAAAAGGCAAGGAAGGTGAAGTCCAAAGGACAATTCCAGTCTTCTACCCAGTAGAGTCACACAGAATGTGCTTGACTCCCCCACTAAGCTATGACAGCATGTGTGAAATGTATACCAGGGAATCTCATTAGAGACTTGGTGTCCAAGGTTTTTACTGGGGTCATGTAAGCACCCTCTGCTTGGCACATACCCAAATTCCAGACTCCCAAGAGGAAAGGAGGTGTGATCCACGTAAACCACATTATTTGTACAAACAGTTTAGACACAGTGAGACACTCTTGTAAGTTCTGGGAATGATGGGGCTCCACCAAAAATCCAAGTTCCCAGATGCCAGTCAAGGCTGAACCTTGTAAGCAGGTCTTTCAAAGGATAGCAGACAGGCCTTCTTTTCTGCACAGTAGTTTATCTGTATCACTTCTTCGCCCCTGTGATCTACTTTCTTTATTACAGCAGAATGATCTTCCCCTTCCCAGCTTTACTGAGGTATAATTGACAAAATTTTATATATTGAAGGTATACAATGTGATGTATTGATACACAAGTATACATTGTGAAATGACTGCCACAATCAAGCTAATTAATATACCCATCACTTCACATAGTTACCTTTGTGTGTCTGTGTGTATGCTGAGAATACTTAAGGTCTATTCTCTTAGCAAAGTTAAAAGCATACAATACAGTATTATCATTAACTTTGGTCATTATGTTATACATTAAATCTCTAGAACGTATTCATCTTATAACTGAAAGTCTGCACTCTTTGACCAACATCTCCCATGTCTTCCATCTCCCTGATCCTAAGTAATCACACTTCTGCTCTCTGTTTCAACTTGTGCAGATTCCATATATAAGTGTGATCATGCAGTATTTATCTGTGACCGCTTATTTCACTTAGCGTAATGTCCTCCAGGTTTATCCATGTTGTTGCAAATGGCAAGATTTCCTTCTTTTTTATATTTATATACCACATTTTCTTTGTCCATTCATCCAACGACAGACATATAGGTTGTTTCTATATTTTGGCTATTATGAATAAAGCTGCAATGAACATGGGAGCTCATTAACAGAGTGATTTTATTTCCTTTGGATATACACCCAGAAGTGAGATTGATGGATCATACAGTAGTTCTCTTTTTAGTTTTTTCAGGAACCTCCATTTAGTTTCAGAATGCCTTGAGCTAAAGAAGACTAGTAAGGATGGAAAGAATGGGTCAAATTATAGAAATAATTAGATGATAGAAATTATAGGATTTGGTAGAACTTTGTAGGTAGAGGGTGATGGTGTTATCTCATTGTACAAAGGGTAGATGGTAGTAGCACTGACTAAAATGGGAAACAGAGGAAGAGAACAGGCTTGGACAGGAAGAAAATTAACTTCATGTTAAGATGCTGAGTTTAGGGCATATGTAAAAATTTGGGTCTGGAATTCACTGGGGAGTTGTAAAGCCTAAAGCTAGAGATTTGGGAATCATCAGAAAATAGGTGTAGATAAAGCTTTGGGAAAGAAGATAAAATTGAGAAAGAAGGGGACATATACTAAAGAACAACTAAAAGAGTGGTGAGAGAAAGAAGTAAATGAAAAAGAGCCTGAAAATGAGTAGAAAAAGAGATAGTAGGGGAACCAGTAAAGTATAGTATCATCAAAGTCAAGAAGAGTGTTTCATCATTTAATTAAATGTTTTAATAGAATGATAAAAATTACAGAATTTGTCTACTAATCACAAACAAAAAGATCCTAACCAAGAAGTCATTTATATTGCCTAGAAACACCACTCACATATAGCTTCTTCTCAGTGTAAACTGTATGGTTTTTTGATTAAAGAGAATTAATGCACTAAAAGAAATGACAGGTACTATATTTTAGCTTTTCATTGTAGAAAAGTACTAATTTTGTTTTTTAGCAATTTGGCTGTCTTCATTATCATCATTTTTAAAATACAGTCAGCCCTCCATATCCATGGGTTCCTCATTTATGGATTCAACCAATCGTAATCAAAACTATTTGGGAGGCCGGGCGTGGTGGCTCAAGCCTGTAATCCTAGCTCTCTGGGAGGCCAAGGCGGGCGGATTGTTTGAGCTCAGGAGTTTGAAACCAGCCTGAGCAAGAGTGAGACCCCATCTCTACTAAAAATAGAAAGAAATTAATTGGACAACTAAAAATACATAGAAAAAAAAATTAGCGGGGCATGTTGGCGCATGCCTGTAGTCCCAGCTACTCGGGAGGCTGAGGCAGGAGGATCGCTTGAGCCCAGGAGTTTGAGGCTGCTGTGAGCTAGGCTGACACCACGGCACTCTAGCCCAGGCAACACAGTGAGACTCTGTCTCAAAAAAAAAAAAAAAAAAAAACTATTTGGGAGAAAAAACAGATGGTTATGTCTGTACTGAACAAGTATAGACTTTTTCCTTTTTCCCTTCTCATTATATCCTAAAAAATACAGTATATCAACTATTTACATAACATTTACATTGTATTAGGTATTCCAGGCAATCTAGAGATGATTTAAAGTATACAGGAAGATAGGAGTAGGTTATGAAAATACTACACCATTTTATATAAGGGACTTGCATATCTATAGATTTTGGTATCCATCGGTGGGGTCCTAGAACCAATCCCCCACAGACACCAAAGGATATCTCTAAAGTGGCAGTTTAAAGTCATAGTTTAAGCTTAAGTTCTCATATTCACTCATTCATTTAACAAATATTTTAGATAGAATCCTAGCCACATGTGAAACCAGTATCTTAGAAAAAACAAAGACTCACTCATATGATGTTTATATTAGCTCAACCAGTTGCTATCTTCCAAGGTTACAAGAGAGCAAAGCCCTTCAAACACAATTATTGAAATTTAAAAAGAAGAAAAAGGATTGGAAATCTACTCTAAATTAATGTGTTTAAAAACAAAAAACCACTATCAAAATACCTGAGGTTGAACAAAGGATGATCAATACTTACTTGAAATGTCTTAGAAGTAAACAGACTATAGTTTCTTTTAGGACAAGGTAGAGTACATATAAACCAATAAAACCCCTAAGGGAAGAGCACACAAGTAAATAGAACATGATCTGAAGATGGTATTAGGCATTTTATTCTTTTCCTAAAATTATTATGAAAAATTTTTGTAAAAATATATACTATTCCACTGCTTCCATAAAGCACTTTGCACATACTACATGAAAACATCAAATCTTAATCTTCCCTTTTATGATCTGGAGTTACTAACTACATGTGCTCTGATCCTCTCCAAAATGTCTAGCTATAACAAAAATCAATTGGTGATATGCTTTTCTGTGTGATAAGCTCAAAGCTATTTTCTTTTTGATTCAGTGAAGAATCCAGTTTAATAAGACTTCATTGGCCTTAATCAACACAGAACCAAGAAAAGATCCCAAGTCCATCTAACAACTAATAAGTAGTTAATGCTGTTCCCTTGGGTATATTTCAGGCAATTGAATTGTGGGTCTAATAAACTGTAACACTGCCAAAGAACATTATATAGAAGTGATCACAATATAAGATCTAAATATTCAAATGGAAGTAACAGTTTTCTTGAATTTCAAAATAGAAAATAAGTAATTCACCAGAAAATAAAACTGTTGGATTTTTTTTTTTTTTAAAGACAGAATCTCACTCTATTTCCCAGGCTAGAAGACTGTTGGATTTTTAACACATCCATTCTATCCCACAAACATTTAATGAGCATATTATATACCAGGTAAGCACTAAGAATGCACATAAGATGGTGCTAGCCCTGGAGGAACTGACAGTCTAGAGAGGGAGATAAAAGAAAATCTACTATTATGACAGTAAGACAAGTATCAAAACAGAACTATGGCCAGGTTATTATGGCAAAGGGAAGAAGGA